CAGGAAATCCCCAAGACCCCGATGTTGAAGGACATCCAGGAATCTCCAAAGCCCGATGAAGTGAGACCCAGAAAGTCCCCCNTCCTTATCTGGAACTGCCCTCCCCTCCCTATGTTCCTCCTCTCTTCCCTCTTCTCCCTCTCTCCTTCCACCCATTAGGCAATTCTTCCCTTCCTTCACCCATAAGTTTCCCCCTCTATCCGTCCTTCCGTTACTCCCTCTTTCTCTGTCTACCTCCTTCCATTTATTAATTCATTTTGCCATCCCTCTATCTCCCCTTTACCCTTCCCTCCCCACTCTAACCATCCAGCCATCTATTTATCTTTCCATCACATTTCCTATCTTATTACCCTAACAAACATCACCATCCAAGGCATGCATACAACACACCATACATACATACATACATACATACATACACACACACACACACACACACACACACACACACACACACACACACACACACACACACACATATATTATATATATATATATATATATATATATATATATATATATGTATGTATGTATGTATGTATGTATCTATGTATGTATAAGGAAGAGGAAATCCAATGCGGCCGAGAACTGCATTATTGCAACTGCAAAAGTTTCGGAGATGCAAGTTCCATCATCAGTGTTAGATTAATTACAATCAAATAATATACACAAATAAAACAAAAGCGTAGAACCAAAAAAGAAGAAAAACTTGAGAAATCAACAAATGACGACAGACAAGAAGTGGGAAGTAGGTAAATCTATTACGGTCACAGATTTTTAATTCAGTATTATTGAAAAGGTGACTGGAGGCGCGAGCGCTCTCCACTGAGCAGGATGGTTTGCCCAGCTGAGGCCGGTTCTGACTGATGAAGCCATCGTGAGGTCGACCCCACTTACCTAGCCGTGGCAGCTAGGACACGTTAATAGGTAATCCACATTCGAACGTACTTCAGTTACACTTTTCCTTTATCTTTAAGAAATTACAAGCGGTATTAGTACTGTAAAAGACAAACCGAAAACAGACCTGAGGATAGTATAGTCTGAGAATTTTGTTCGATGGCTTCCTCAGACATATCTACTTCGTTTCCTAAAAATGGAACGAGAACTAAATAATATTTCAGCTGCAACCACCCTGTCCACAAAGTGGCCTAACGACCGTTGCTTTTTGGTTGGTGCCTGTTGCCTTGGTTGGTCGTCATTTGTTGATTTTTCCTTTTATTTTGTTTTATGTTTTTGCATGGTTTTGTGTATACTATTTGAATGTAACTAGAGTTAATGTCCTTGTTTTTGTTCTCATTTTAGCGCTGATGATCGAGATTCCATCTCCTAACGTTTGCATTTGCAATAATGAAGTTCTCAGCCGCGTTGGTTTTCCTCATATAATAATTCGATTCCCAAGGGACCCAGTCACAACACATTATATACATACATACATAAATTAACATAAGTATACATGCATATATATGTATGTATGTATGCATATATATATATATATATATATATATATATATATATATATATATATATGCATATGTATATATATGTATGTGTGCATATGTATATATATATATATATATATATATATATATATATATATATATAATATATATATACGTATGTACGTATGTATCATATATATATATATATATATATATATATATATATGTGTGTGTGTGTGTGTGTGTGTGTGTTGTGTGTGTGTGTGTGTGTGTGTGTGTGTGTGTGTGTGTGTGTTGTGTGTGTGTGTGTGTATATATGTATGTATGTATGTATGTATGTATATATATATATATAATATATATTAGAGAGAGAGAGAGAGAGAGTAGAATCCCTTTCACGGCAGCACCAAAGCGATGCTGCGCGCATATAGACAGGCAGAAAACTTCTTTGTTGGCGTGTTCGCTTTTGTCTCTCTTCGCGTTTGGGCGACTCGCTGTTCATTTTGTGAGATCTTACTCCTGTCGAAGAGTTCAGAGAAGGAAACGAATATTATTGCATTATGATTAAAAAGTAATACTAATAATAACCCTTGCAAATGATGTGAAACTGGATGATCCATCTTTTTGGTTAATCACTATACAAATGAAAGGTTTTAACATTTCGTGTGTATTACGATAATAGCTTTGATACTTGCAACTAAATTAATGAAAAAATGCGATTCAGCTTCATTGTTCCACCCTTTCAACATGATCCTAACATGGGCCAGTTACCCCTTTTGTTGATAATGGCCCCTTTTCTTTAGTGAAACGTGGGATTTCAAGACTTCACTTCTTTTACTTTTAAAATATTCGCCACAAATTTTGTATGTTCCTCCGACCAAGGCTTCCAATCGTCTCGCCTTGACGCCGCCTCTTCTCGATACAAGTCTTTTTCGATGGTGTTTGTAGAAAGGAAGATATTTATTCTTCCATTCTCGTCGAATTTGGCAATTAACTGCTCAATAGCTGTCTGGCACACACACATGTGTGTGTGTGTATCATTTTTGTCTTTGCATCCCTCCTCCCCCCCTCTCTGTCTCTCTCTCTGTCTCTGTCTCTCTCTCTCTCTCTCTCTCTCTCTCTCTCTCTCTCTCTCTCTCTCTCTCTCTCTCTCTCTCTCTCTCTCTCTCTCTCTCTCTCTCTCTCTCTCTCTCTCACACACACACACACACACACACATATTTTATTGTATCATAAATCTGTGCTAACATTGATTCTCACGTATGGATACCCAGATATGAGGTTCTGGCTCTTTGATAAATGGAAGGAGACAGAGAGGGGGAAGGCGAGAAAGTGGAGAAGAATGACATTGGTGATACACAAAGAGTGGGGAGAAAAAGAGGGAGAGAGAGAGTAACAGAGATATTATATGTTTGATTTTTTTCTTCTTTTTCGATGAATCAGTGTTTATGGTTTATATGTTATTTGTTTAGTGCTGCACCTGATAATATCTATTGGATGCCGTGTCATACTAATAATTTACATACATGACAATAGCAAACTGTTATTGCAATTGCTCATTTAGAAGAATCACCTAATATAATGCTGGTAGAGGCTGCTGTGGAACAGAGGCGTCACTCGCACAGGAGAGAGAGGTGGGGGGGGGTGTATGGGAGAGACAGACAAGATGAGGAGAGAGAGAGAGGGGGGGGGGATGGGAGAGACAAAGATGAAGGAGAGAGAGAGAGGTGGGGGGTATGGGAGAGACAGACAAGATGAAGGAGAGAGAGATAGAGAGAGGTCGGGGGGGGGGGGTATGGGAGAGAGAGACAAGATGAAGGAGAGAGAGATAGAAAATAAAAGTTATTTCATTTGTTACAATCGTTATTCTTATTATGTTACGATACATATAAGTTTAAGTTGAACATATAATTAATTGTAGTATATATGTCTTGCCAATTCTTATTTTTTGAAACTTTGTGTCATTGGTGAGTTAAGAGATGTTCCTTTAATCTGTGGGTGTTGTCGACGTGGTTCTCCAATGTCATGAAACTGTCAATGAGTGCGCCTAGGTTTCTCTCCGGTAGTGCTCGGTCTTCTGTGGCGGTCTTCAAATTTTATGATTGTATTTACAGGAATATCGGCAATGTTTTGATAGATTGTGTTTTATGTGGATTTATCTTGAAACCATTTGCGTCAAAGTATCCTTTTACTTGTGAAAGCGTCTCTTGGCTCTTTTTTTCCCAGATTCGGGGTCCGACATTTGCTAAAGGAGGTGGCAGTTTGAGGTGTTCCATTCCATAAACAACCGTCAGGTACTCTATAGTAAAAATAAATTTCTTTTTTTCGGGTTCAGTAGGCTAAATGGAAGTGGTTATTTGTCTTATATGTACCAAGGAGGCTACGATGAAGGTGGTGCCATGTGGAGCAGAAGGAAACTGAATACTTGGCATCCATCTCAGTCGCCTGCCTCAGCCACGCCCTCTTTGATGGGCGTGCACTCGGCACTATTATCCGTACACAGTACGGATAATACTTTGCGGTTTTGTAAAGATCCTTAATTCGAATAACGTAACCAGCTTTATACGTACAACAAATATAAATATTTTAGTTGAATATAGATTCAGTGCACTGTTATGCTCGCAGTCCTTGGAATCTTTTAGCTTAGTGTATGGAATTCAGATATATGATATATAACCTTGATTATTACAATATACAGTAAAGAAGACGTAAAACACAAGACACTATCATGACAAAATTACGTAGAATGTTTACACACAAACAGACCACTTTCCCGCCATTTTTCATTATTCATTCAGTGTCACTATCAATATGAGGACAACAACAAAAGTCAACGTATTTGTTTAAGCTTGCGAAACTATTTTTATCACACTAAAGCTTAAAAACAATCAGGAAATAATCATATTTCGCTTTGTGTTTCCACTGATCCCAACGGGGTTAACACAGCCTCCCTTATAGATACCTTGACGTGTCCCTTGCCCTCAGTACTCCGCAGCATAATCTAAAACCATCGCCTGCAGTGTTGGTTTACCCGCGGGCGCACCTGCGAGGAGGTCGGGTCCTGGACGACGGCGTACACTGTGCTCGGCGTCTGCTACCAGTACACTTTGCGTAAGCAGCTGGCTGTGTCCTTCCTGTGGCGGGGAGGAGCTTTGTGTATTGCTCTGTAAAGGAGTTGGTTTTGTTCTGTTGTTGTTACGTTATTTGTATGGCCACGCATGTATATGTGTATAAATAAGCATGTATGTGTACTTGTGGCGTCCTCGCAGTGGCGGTGGTCCAAGAGATTTTTCCAAAATTGCCAAAAAGAAAGTTGTAAAGGACTTGTCAAACGCTAAAATTGCCGAAGTTGCCAAAGCGCGTAGTTGTGAAATTCTATTATTGAATTTGGTAATGAGTATTCTGCAAGTGCCTAGTTTCAATAAGCACTTGCCAATTTTGGCCAAGTTACTGATAAATACAATACGTAGAAGAAAATAGTGTTCCTCAAAGTGTTTTTAGAAGGGCGTTTCCGCAAAAAACGGCGTGGACCCCCTATAACGTTGCGCCTTTAACGCAACCATGAGAGTACATTGGACTCCCTACCTTTTTGAGGCGATCTCCGCCGCTGCGTCCTCGTGCCTGCATCTAGGCAAAGTGTCGACTTCCCATGCAAGTATAGACTTTCCGCGCACAGCCGCTAATGGAGCGTAATAACTACGACACAGTGCCCTTGATTTGCGACATCATAGTCCCTGTTTTGGATGAATTGTGTGTGCTTGGTAACTATATATGTGATATATGAGATTTTTTTGTTGTCTATGTACGTGCGAGTGTGCACATTCAAACGCATCTCCACAACCCACCTTTCCTCCCTCCCCCAGGGGACCCCGTCGCCATCTCCGGCATCTTCAACAACATGTACTTACTCCTGCACGACCAAGAATCCGAGTCCTACGAGGACGACCGAGGCTTCAAAATCCTTATCCACGACCCGCGCGACGACCCTGTGATCGACCTGAGAACCCACGGGACGACCCTGATGGAGGGCTGGGTGAAGGACGTCCGCGTGGCCGTCAGGGAGGTGAGGACCCTGTCCCCTGGGGTCTTGTGGCCGGGACTCAGGGAGTGGATGAGGCTGTTCACGCACTCGTGGCTGTGCTGCCGTACGCAGTCGTCGTGTGCTCTTTATATCAGCTTCAAAAGGACATAATCATGTGCGGGTTTGGAAATTCTACGCTTTGGCTTTGGAAAGTTCTGGAAGTAAGAATCTATACTCGAGCGTGGCTACTTTTTCTTAAGCAGTTTATTTTTAGTGAAACAAAATGATCGAAATGCGCGATTTCTTGGTTTTCGTGTTTTAAAGCTGGTATTCGGCAAAAGGAATCGACACGAGAGAGCTTAAAACTCTCCATACAACGAATGCAAGGACACGAGAATAGAAATAGTGAAATAGATAAATGGATATAAAACACACACACACACAAACGTCTTCATTATGGTTATCTTCGAGACGACTTGCAGTCCGTTCAGCTCGCCGAGCCGCTTCATAAAGCTCTCTCGCTGCTCAGACCTAATCCGAGTTCTAAGAAGCCTCTGTTCAGGGTCGCCTCGTCGCTCCGGCGGCGCACTACTACGTCTTTTTTATTTACTTATTTTTGCCTTATATTTTATCTTATTTTTTATCCTTCCCTCTACCCTTCGGTCTCTCCTTATTTCCTTATTCCCATCATCCCTCCGTCCCTATTTTTCCTTCCTCCTTCCTAATTCCGTCTCTATTTTCCTCTCTGACTCCTCGTCCCTTCCTTCGCGCTTCCCGCAGACACGCTTCGTCCTCCGTGTCGTCTCCTCCTTCCCTTCCCCATCCCTGTCTTTCTCGCTTCCTCCCCACTCCCTCATTTGTGCCATTTCAGTCTCTCTCTATCTGTGTGTGTGTGTGTGTACGCACATACATTTATTTACACACACACACACACACGCACATGCACACACACGCACGAACACATACATATATGTATGTGTAAGTGTGTA